GGGAGATCTAAATGCCAAAGTCGGAATAGACAACACTGGATATGAAGATATCATGGGACGACATGGACTGGGTGAGAGAAACGAAAATGGGGAAAGATTTGCAAATCTATGTGCATTCAACAAATTGGTCATAGGAGGCACAATATTTCCAAACAAACGTATACACAAAGCTACATGGATCTCACCGGACCACACTACATAGAACCAGATAGATCATATCTGCATCAATAAAAAATTCCGAAGAACACTGGAAGATGTGAGAACCAGGAGAGGAGCTGACATAGCTTCAGATCACCACTTAGTTGTGGCCAATTTAAAAATGAAGCTAAAAAAGAACTGGACAACTGGACAAACAACACTACGAAGGTTCAATACAGCCTTCCTTCGAGAGACTAACAAAATCAAGATAGCTCTCAACAACAGGTTCCAAGCCTTACAGGATCTACTGAGAGAAGAAGAAACTACTACAACTGGAAAGGTATCAAAGAAGCATTAACTTCAACGTGTCAACAGGTTCTGGGCCTCCAGAAGCACCATCATAAGGAATGGATCTCTATACAAATACTGGACAAGAGCAAAGAAAGGAAGAACAAGAAGACAGCAATTAACAACAGCCGAACACGAACAGAGAAAGTCCAAGCACAAGCTGAATACATAGAAGTGAACAAGCAAGTCAAGAAAAGCATTAGAGCCGACAAGAAGAAATATGTGGAAGAACTAGCATCGACGGTGGAAAAAGCTGCAAGGGAAGGAATTATGAAACAGCTTTACGATACAACGAAGAAACTAGCAGGGAAATACAGTAAACCAGAGAGACCGGTCAAGGACAAGGAAGGCAGGCCAATCACTGAAATTCAAAAACAGCCGAAAAGATGAGTAGAATACTTTGAGAAACTCCTGAATAGGCCGGCTCCAATGAATCCACCGGACATCAAAGCAGCACACATAGATCTTTCTATAGATGTCAATCCACCAACGACGGAAGAAATCAGAATGGCCATCAGACAAATCAAGAGAGGGAAAGCAGCAGGACCCGACAACATACCAACTGAAGCACTAAAATCAGACGTCGAAGTAACCACAAGCACGCTTTACCCTCTATTCAAAAAGATTTGGGAGGAGGAACAAGTGCCTATGGACTGGAAAGAAGGACACGTCACCAAGATTCAAAGAAAGGAGATCTGAGCAAATGTGAAAACTGCAGAGGCATCACACTACTGTCAATACCAGGGAAGGTCTTCAACAGAGTTTTGCTGAACCGGATGAAGGATGCAGTAGACGCCCAACTTCGAGATCAACAAGCTGGATTCCGTAAGGATCGGTCGTGCACAGACCAAATTGCAACACTACGGACCATCGTAGAACAATCAGTTGAGTGGAACTCGTCACTATACATCAACCTCATTGATTATGAAAAGGCATTCGACAGTGTAGATAGGAGGACATTATGGAAACTTCTTCGACACTACGGAGTTCCTGAGAAGATTGTCAATATTATCCGGAACTCATACGACGGACTACAGTGCAAAGTAGTGCATGGAGGACAGCTGACAGATGCATTCCAAGTAAGGACCGGAGTCAGACATGGCTGTTTACTCTCTCCCTTCCTCTTTCTTCTGGTGGTCGACTGGGTTATGATGACCTCAACATCTGAAGGAAAACACGGAATACAATGGATAGCTCAGAATCAATTAGACGATTTGGACTTCGCAGATGACCTGGCCCTCCTATCGCACACACATGAACAAATGCAGATAAAGACAGTCAGTGTAGCAGCATTCTCTGCATCAGTAGGCCTCAGCATACACAAAGGGAAAACCAAGGTCCTCAAATTCAAAGCGGAGAACAGAAATCCAATCACTCTTGATGGCGAAATTCTGGAAGACGTAGAGTCCTTCACATACCTAGGAAGCATCGTCGATGGACAAGGAGGTTCAGATGCAGACGTAAAGGTGAGGATTGGCAAAGCAAGGGCCGCATTCCTACAATTGAAGAACATACGGAACTCAAAACAACTGTCTGCAAGCCAATATCAAAGTGAGAATCTTCAATACGAACGTCAAGGCAGTTCTACTGGACGGAGCTGAAACTTTGAGAACTACAACAACCATCATCAAGAAGGTGCAAGTATTTATAACTAACCCGATACCATCAGCAACAGCCTTTTGTGGGAGAGAACAAACCTGCTTCCAGCTGAAGAGGAAATTAGGAAAAGACGATGGAAATGGATAGGACTCAAATCACCAAACTGCATCACGAGACAAGCCCTAACTTGGAACCCTGAAGGGAAGCGGAAAAGAGGAAGGCCAAAGAACACATTACGTCGGATAATAGAAGCAGATATGAAAAGGATGAATTACAACTGGAAGGAACTAGAAAGGATTGCCCAGGACAGGGTTGGATGGAGAATTCTGGTGAGCGGCCTATGCTCCTTCACGAGGAGTAACAGGCGTAAGTAAGTAAGTGAATTATGCAATAACATACTCTAGACTACCTGTTAAGTATTATCACATAGTTAATACAGTCTTTGCTCTCAAAGTGAATATCATCTACCTTTTTACGGCCAGATGCATAATGCGTTTCTATTTCTGCTTCGGTGGATAATCTTCCTGTTTTCAGTAGAATATCTTAGCTACTCATAAATAATAAGTAACCAAAATTATGTCCAAAAATTGAAAGCCGTCAATGATCACCTTTTCATTTCATAACATTTTATAGTCACTTGCTTCTCTGATTTGCTCTAAGTTTCTTCCATGGAAATTTTTATCATGACGGTGAGCTTAGACAACACTTTCTCTGGGCGATCACAATCTGCCAACAACTTTCATCGACCTGATGTAAGAACCCTAAACAACACTTTGCGTTGCTAAAAGATATGTGCATGGAGATAGACTATACACCAAATAAAAGTTCTCTATCCAACGGCTAACTCAGCAACTTTATATTCAACACTCCGGTCGTATGTCTATCAATTGATGGGGAAAATCCAACCTCCACCTCTGGGATATTGGCACTCAAAGAAACATTAACTTGGAGATATTAGTGTCAGAAATGCAGCGGAGTTTAAAGATTCAGAGAGGATTTAATGGCTAGTTTTTGTTAATTATCTGTTTGAAAGATTTCTGCTATCGTTGTTCTCTCATTGACATTTTTAATCACCAACTTATCGACTAGTTATACTGTTTTCTTGAACAAGTGCCCAGTTATAGAATACTTTTAATAGTTCAAAATATACTTCGTATTTCTAACAAACACCTTGTTTGGGAACTAGTTGCCCTGTTTAATAAAAGCGAGAACAAACTTTAAGTAAACTTTGTCTTACAAAATATAAGTGGTGCCGGTCTTATACCTTTTATATTACGTTTATCCCACTATCCACTACTGGAAACATTCTTTCAAGTTTATAAAAAGCAAGAAAGTAAAAAATTGGAGAATACAATTAATCCATAGTCATCTGTTACTTTTTCTTCATGTGAATATAGGCTGATGACTGTAATTAGTTTGGTGTATTAATAAATCTAAGGAATGGCTTAGATATCAGGTTCTTCAATTGCATTGTCGTTTCATGCTTTGCCGAAATTGTGTGTATAGACGAACCACTGTTAATTATCCACATAGGTGACCGACTAAAGAGAACACTCGACACCTTACACGTATGATGTTTCCGTCAGGACAAAAGTTAAACGATTGTTCTGGACATAAATCACATTTTTTGGATTCATAACCTTTACTGATACATTTGATAAGACCGACTGACTTGAATGCACTATTTGTATTGAGTTACTTCAAAATTCATGGACTTTCTAATAGTTTTTCCTAAATTTGATCCAAAACCTTAGTGGCTTGTTCTATGTAATTATCGGAGAGACCAGGGAGTAGTTTATTGTCTTATGATGGATTTATGCTCCATGAGTTAGAATTATTGTTCCGTGAACTTAACTCATCGACTTGAATCGTCTATTGTGAAAGCTGAGAAGACAACCCATGTACTCTTATGCCTTGTACGAAAAACACCAAGGGTTTCGAGTCAGCTGCAAATAATTGGTTTTTTATCCGATGAGACTGATGGTTAGTATGTAACTCTATTTGGTTTACAACTCAACATCAGTATTGACCATAACACTCTCATTCATGTATTCACACACTTTCCTGTTCTACTTCAACTCTAATGATCAGTGAATAAAAAATATTTGGTTCTAGATCAACAATCTAAAATATGTTTTATATATGTACACATTAACCTGCTTGATTGAACTAAAGCGTATTATTGGAAAACATTCAGATTAGCAAGATTGTTGACAAGTCATAAAGATCTTGATTTCAACAGTCTTAAATGTCACGAACGAGCTACTGTAGTAGACAGTTAATATTAATAGTCAACTGACCTTAGTTCATCTAATGTTTAATACTTGGGGCTGATCTTCTAATTTGGAAGAGATAGCGCAGTTGAGCATACAACAAGTGTCCATGTTATTCCATTCTGTCTGAATTACAAGCCATATTATGGTTAGTAACTTTGCAAAGTATGATTATTAGATTATGAGGGTTGTTTTTCATAATTATCTCCCTGTCCATTTGAAGAATGTAGCTATGTGGATAATACAGGGTTGCAAAACGTTCATTTAATCGAAATAGAACACAAGTAGAAACTACCTGAAATCAAATACATTGTTCTTAAACGTTCGACAACACCTGTCTAGGATATAAAAGCGATATATTTTATGAAAAAGGAATGAAAGTTAAGAGGAAGAAAAGTGAAATTTCATGTTTGATCTCCTTTTTTTCTTTTCAAGAAGCAAATGCTCATCGATTCAGTGTCCTATCATTTTAAAAAGTGGGTTCACATTGCCTATGACTAGTGTATAAACAGTGGTGCTTTTCATACGGAAATAAAGTCATCTATATCTTGTTCACTCTAGTTTGACTGAATGCATGCCTGTGTATAAGAATAAAAACAGTATGTTTGCATACAGTTTGATAATAACATTATCATTTTTATTTTATCGAACTCTTCTTTTCTTCTTTCTAGTTTGTCTCTTCTTATTTCTCATTTCAACTATTTGCTGAGCTTGTTTCTTTAAAGCAGCTCTAGTTAACACTTCATTATCATCTGCTCCACCATCATCATCTAGATTATTAGGAAAAAAACGAAAAAAATACGACAATATTGTAAAACTCTTGTATTTTACGCAAGTTATACAATATCACATAAAACTTTGATAGAACTTACAGTATGTATTTGTGGGTCAAACATTGAAATTTAGCTGCTGTTAGAATTTTGAAGCTGTAACCCACAACTGTTGCCAGTCGAATTCTTTAATAAATGAACCATCACAGTTACTACCACTGAAACAGATATTGAACTATATCACTATCTATACTTTACATCGAATACATGCAAACCACTTCACTTAATTCACTATTATAGTTTTATCAGCATAAAACAAATTGTACACATTTTATTGTTTAAAATATTGTATACAGTTTTTACTATAATTATACTCGAATAAACGGTGTATTCATATTATTGATAATTTATTTAAAATTAAATGTATAAAATGAATTTATACTTGGGATTACCCATGATTACTTAATACTTACCATCAGGATTACCTTCATTCTTTACTTTTGGAAATTGTATTCTTATATTGTTCTCGGGTAATTTACTATCAAGCTTTGTGTAAAACTTGAATATAATTTTTTTAAAAAGAAACAAGTATTACTGATTTTAAATTAGTAGTATAAAATAATAGAAATAAAATAGAAATAAAGATAAATTATTACACTTTCTAAATTTTTCTCTTAATTTATTAAGATATTAACTCTATTCTATGGTAAATCTTATTTACATCGTATTATTAAGGAGAAAAATTAACGTTAGAAATTTGTTTTTGAAATTATTTTAATCAATAAATTATTTGAATTTGAAATCAAATTGCTAAAATTAAATAAATAAAATATAGTTGAAATCATGAGTTAATTGAAGCTAGGCCACCATGGAAAACCTGGAAGCACTGAACGGCCGTTTCATCCTACGGTGTTAACACCGTTGGTTACCGGCCATCTCAGTGGTCTAATAGTTAAGCGCTAGCGCGCGAGACTGATTGGTCCTGAGTTGGAATCTCGCGGGGGCTGGAATCGTGGATGTGCACTGCTGAGGAGCTCCATACTAGGACGGAACGGCCGTCCAGTGCTTCCAGATTTTCCATGGTGGTCTAGCTTCAATTGACTCATGATTTCAACTATTAAAACTACTAAAATCTCCACAAAACCCCTTCTGAAAATAAAAAATAATGATAATTCATTCAATATTTTATGTAATTCATTTAATAAAAACGCTTTTCATAATTAATATGAAAATATACAAAAGGCATTAGGATCTGATAGATTTGATTTATAGTTAGCAATGGAATACATGATCAGTGTTTCTTCTTATTTAAGTATCATCATCTGTATTGTTTGCATATCAATAGACAGTGATTAATGATGAACATTTAATACTTAATAACAACAAGACAACTTAAATTCTAACGTACACATAACATGGAAAAGATTGTTTAAACTCTTGTCTTTTTCGCTCATTCTATTTAGAATGAGTTATTTAAATATTATGATCAAAGTGTTGGTTTTGAATTTTCTCTGAAGTAATTTATTAACTGAATGTTTATTTTCTCATATGAATAATGCCTTAAAACTACCTTTTAAAATCATATTCTATTCCATAAAATAAATAAGATTTAAGAGGGATTAATAGATCTCCATTAGCATGATGATTACTGAAATAGGTGCCTTATTACTGACACTTGGTTTAAATATTGAAAGTTTAATCTGGATAATCAATTCTCTTTGATATTATCAATATAAGGTTGATTATTTGCAAACAAAAAGTGTAAACATTTATAAAATTTAAAACTCTTTAGATATTTTGTGGATCTGATAACTCTATCACCTAGTGGAATATTAGTTCAAATGTTCAGTAGCACAAACCATGACTCTTTCAAAACATAAAGACTTCATAATGCATAGATATCAGATGATTCTAAAAAAAATCATATTTGATAATTTTTTCCCTTAAATAATCATAAATTTTAAAAACGTTTCATGGTCAAGAAAAAATAGTTTTTTAGTTGATATTTCTGTTTTAAAAAACAAATTTTTCTTGATTTTTAAATTATACAAACTGTTCACAAAACATCATGAATGAATGATCAAAACACAGTCAGTAAATAACTCTTTTTTTACTGGTTATTTGAGTCTTCCCATTGTTATTTAGGACTGCAATTGGTTATTCTCTTATTGTTATATGTGTATACTGTGCGTATTGCCCAGAGATTGGCTTAATTCACAAGCATTATAAGCAAATATCGATAGTGGCTAGCAATGGGATCTAGGACGTGTGTTTCGTCCGATTTGAAAGTCGTCAGCTGGATGTACTTGCCTCCGAGTTCATGCTCACTCTGGGACTCAAACTCAGTACTGTTCGCTTCAAACGCCATCGTACTATCCACTTAGCAGAGTTCATATAGACACTAGCTGGGTTCGAGTCCCGGGATGATTATCAACTCTCAGAATGCAGATACATCCAGCTGATGAGTCCCAAATTGGACGAAACGAGCGTCCTGGATTCCGCCGCCAACCACTATCCATCTCTACAGTCAGTAAATATTACTCTTTTAAAAAAGGTAAAATTAATTTAAACAAATAGTGGACATAAATATACTATGTGCTTTATTAATGGCTTTTAAAATAATAACTGACAAAAGTAATGTTCCAATAATGATGAATAACTGAAAGTTGAATGTTGCTACTTAATTTTTGAAAAAAGAGGGATCAATGAAAGTTGAATTTGCGAATCGATCTAAGCTAGACCACCATTGAAAACCTGAAAGCACTAGACTTCCGTTTGATCCCATTATGGGACTCTTCAGCAGTGCGCATCCACGATCCAACACATGAGACTCAAATCCAGGTTAAACTCCGCGTGCAAGACAGAAAGTTCTGGGTTCGAGTTCTGTGTGTTGGATCGTGGATGCGCACTGCCATATTAGGACCAGACGGAAGTCTAGTGCTTCTAGGTTTTCAGTGGTGGTCTACCTTAAATCGACTCGTGAACTCAGCTATTACAATACTACTATATCCACAAATCGTCATACTGAAAATTGAATTATGAAAAATAATTACTAGTTGTCTGTTTACATATTTCTCCTTGCTCTAATTCTGATAGAAATTTTACAAACGTTTGTAAGATTTTACGGTTATCATTTAGCACAGATATTTTTTTTTCTATCAGAACAATTGGCAAATTTATTTCAAGACAAAAATTACATTTACACTATCCAATTTACTGTAAATTTATGTTTTCTATACAAGTTCACTCAAAATAAATGAATTAGTTAAAAAATGAATCATTACTAGATGGTTAAGGATGATCATTTTATTCTTTTATTCACAACTTTTTACTTAAAAACTAACTCATAATTACGTTATTTTGATTAAATATTTCGTAAAGAAACATCAGTTATAATTCGTTAATAGAACAGTAAGTTATTAGTTACTTCCTTCAAAATGATCTACCACTTTTATCACAACAATTATTTCCATTATCTTAATAATTTCACTTAGTTTTCATAACCACAAATACATTTACAATGAATGATTACTGAATAATGAGCAATATCATGCTTATCTAGTTCATAATACTTATTGAATTCCATCAATTTTAATCCTGCAAGAAGTAGACTGTTGCTAAATACTTCAATGATAAGATCTTTGATTCTGTTGTGGTGTGTGCTACTTATATTGACATAAATAGTATATGATGTTAGTCGTGAACAAAAGGTCTGGCAGTAGAAAGACAAGAGGATCGAACAGTAAAGAATGGAAACAAAATGCAATTTGTATGAAAATGCAACAACAATGAAGTCTGAGTCATTTTGAGACAATCGATGGACATTTTGCAAATTAAGCATTTATTTTGTGATTGTTAGGTTTTATTAACAAGTCCTGTAACTTTGTGTTAAATATATTTGACTGTCCCACTGATGTTCTTGTTCACTACACTATCAGTTTCTTATTATTTAGCATCGTTAAATAAAAGTAATTGAAAATAAATACCTTTAAAAATACACTTACTTCTTCTTGTTCTATTAAATTAAGTTGTTCTTCAATATTAACATCATTTAAACTACTCATAAGTTCATCTAATTTATTATTACATATTTTTAACATTTCTGGTATGTCACTATTATCGATAATATTTTGTTCATCTACAACTAATTCTTCGTCCTTTTCTTCACCATCTTTATGAAAATGTTCAATACCTTTTGTTATGTGCATATTTAAAAAAGATAATTTATCATAAATATGATCAACTCCAGTTTTACATTGAATTAAAAGATGATTAGCATTTTCTAAATTTTGATAACATTTTATACGACGTTCACTTTCTATTTGTGCTTCATTCTGATGTTGTTTTATTACTTGATTAGTGCTGAAAGGAAATATTTTAGAAAAATTAACTTCATAATTATGTGTGAAAGTATAAACTTTTTTATGGAGTTTTGTTCTCTGAGCTCCACGACCAAACCATCCAGCTCAGAGAACAAAACTCCATCAAAATCATCCACCTGAGCTACGAATCTTCTCCATTATCTAAAGTATAAACTTTATATCGTTGCATCCAAAAATACTGTTTAAATTGAATGTGTATCAGTTTCGCCTAAATTTTAAAATTGTAATAGGATTTGAATGAGTTATGAAACTGTTGATAGCTGTGACTTGGCTAATATCAGTGTATGTTAAAAACGTGCTTATGTTTTGAAAAATCATACTATTTAACTATTTTGAGGTTCAACTCAAAATCAATAACTTCCTACAGTTTAAACTACAACAAATTGAATTTCAGCTTCCATAATACTTCCTAATTTCCAGATGTAATAATGTTACGATGAATCCTTAATTTAAAAAATATTTAAAACTATACTGCACAGAACAAGTTAAAATATTTTTAAAGTACCTTTCTATTTCCGTTTCTCCAGAATACTTAAGTTCTTCAAACTCTTGCTGTAGTTGATCCCTTTGTTTACGAAGTTTTTGACATTGTTCTTCAGCTTTGTCTTTCAATTCATTTAGATTTCGTAAAGTTTCCCCTTGACTTTCAAACCTTTTAACAATTTGATCAAGATCAGACAGTCCAGTGACTTCTTTAATAGTTTTAAATGACTCCTCATATTTAGATATTTTCATTTGTTGTTCTTCTGTTATACTTATCCCACCTGTTCCCGAAATTCGTTCTCCAGTACCAATGCTGTCTCCTTGAACACTTCCACTTGGTACGTTAGCAGAAGAAAGTGACTCTCTACCTTGCTAAATGTTGTATAAAAGAGTACAAGTAATATTTTTCTCGGATTGTTATTTCAATAAATTAATCTGGATAACCACTAGTTATTGAAATACAAAAATAATAAATACATTGCAAACAATTGGGTGACAGATAAATTATTATTAGAGAAATAGAAAATAAACATTTAAGCTGACTCAAAATTACTTATAGTAGATAGGGAATCAAGGTTATTTCTGTGATCATGAGCTTCAACGTGAACACTTTACGTTCATCTTTAAAGTTTCAGTGGAACGTTTTCCTGAAGCATACATTATGCTAAACTTACTTTAAAACACTTGTTTGTAAACATAACTTTAAGAGTCATATGATGGAATATTTCATGATTGTGTCATCAATTACTCTTATGACTTTATACAAATGAATGTAGAAATAGATGCATGACAATTATTTTCTCTGTTTTTTCCTCTATTGTTTGAAATGTCTATATAATTGTGGTCTGAAAATACGAAACCTTTTTGTGAAGTTCTCAATAGATTTTGCCGTAATAAACCTTTTGTGATATTTCTTCTGTTGCTAGTACTTCAAACTCATTAAGATAATTGTTATTCTTTGTTAGTCACAGAAGCGGACCAATGTTCAGCGCTTTATCTCGTAATGATTTCACTCTTGCTTAGCATCGTTCTGTTGACTGCCTTTTACAACAATAAAAGTTTACTTCATATTATGATCCCCAGTATTAAGAAATAACTATTATTTATTGACCAGATATTTTCATGTGGTTAAAGACTGAAGTACTTCGTATTTGATGTCAAAACTTGGAAGATAACTGGCAACAAACCCTTCACAACTTTAAGTCTGGATCACAAAGAAACATGCAAACCTTCACTAAAGCACATGCTACAAGATGTTTGAATCCGAATCTAAGAAAGTTATATTCGCAGATATTTTAGATGCTATAGTAGAGTAAACTTTCATGCTGTTTGCATACAGTGACTTGGTATTTGCAATTAAATTTCTATCAGAACATTGGTTTTTATCGAGACTGTGAACAATGATTCCTAGTGATTTTAGACAGACATGAAGTTTAGGCATCTTACTGTTGCTTCTGATTGACTACAGAAAAAATGTTTCCATTTACTACGATGAAAATGGGTGTACTTAATTAGTCAGAATAACATCCCACAAGTTTCAGATGTAAAATTGTAGTTAAGATGTCTGCAAATGAATTTAGTGTAGTAAGCCAAAACAAAATGAAAAAAATATCTTAGTACAACCAAAATAACAAACTAATTATTATATTTAGCCATGGATTTAGTAAAGCGTAACACTATGGACCAAAGTCCTGTAAATTTGGTATTACGATAAGGAAAATTTAGTTTTTCAAACTTTAAACTTGATAAAATAAACCAGCTAGCTATTATTCAATGGAACATTAGTATAAAATGTCAGGGTTAGTACTGAACTTTGTTGAAGAACATGATCAAACCAGAATAATCCGTGACTTCCTTTTGTTAGACTGAACTTAGCATGACAATTTGTTTATCAAGATAATTTAACACAAAATTTATGCATAGTCTCATGTATCGGAACAGTACATGACTAGCATATAGTGTACATACAACAGTATATATCATATTGAAGGTGGGCGTCATATAATTACTTGAAAGAGAAAACTCGTTGGTATTGAAAAGAGGTAATGCCAAAAAAGCCAAAGCTTTATCGATATATTTAAGCAAAGTTTTCTACAGGTAATAAAGAAACGAGCAACAATTAATCGTTATCAAGGCGCCTTGTCGATAGATCCCGTAGTTATTGAGAAAGAAACTGTCTTAAGATTAATTCAACATTTCAAACCAAATAAGTTCAGTGGTTTTGACGATATTCCGATATAACTGCTGAACCTATGGATATACTGGTTGATGTGTCTTTGATGCAGTTCAGCCCGTCAAGAGACTAGAAAAGCACAGTAATTAGTCCAGTGTATAAGATGGGGGGCACAAACTTAGTTAGTAACTATCGACCTATTAGTCCAACCAGTGTAGTTGTCAAACCAATAGCAAAGATTATTCGGATGACTGTTATAAACTATGTGGAGGGGCATAATTTCTAGTTCAGAGAGCGTCACGGTCGCATAAAAAGCCTATCATGACAAGATATTGGGCTGCAGCAAAAGACAGAAATATCCCTGTAGATGTAATTTTCATAGACTTAAATAAAGCTTTTGACAAGGTCTCTCATCTGCGTCTTAAACTAAAACTGGAAAGTTTTAGAATCCATTATGAAATCATAGACTGAATAAATGACTTTCTTTATGATATGAGACAGAGGGTAAGGGTAAATGAAGCTCTCTTAGCGTGAAAATACGTAAGACGTGAGGCTCCCCAGGGAACAATCCTCGGCCCTCTTCTTTTTTTACTTTATGTAAATGAACTCTCAAATGTAGCAAAGTCATCTTTTCTACTATTTGACGATGACACAAATATTTGGAGACCCATACATAGTATGTCAAATAGAATATCAGATGAAATAAATGCACTGGTTTCATAGATTGGCAGGTCGTCATTATAAGTAAATTCTAACAAGTGTGGTGATGCAATTAAATAACTATGATGATTCATCTTACTACACAATATTTGGAGTTATATAATCTAAAGCAATAGACTACAAAGATCTAGGAGTCATAATAAGCAGCGACCTCAAAACTACGAGTATCTGCAAGGCTGTTGCTGCTGAAGGCCTTAGAGTCTTGTAGGCTATTTGTTAGTCTTTTCAGTACTTGAACAAACAAATTTCCAGGGTATTATACCCTAATTTTGTGAGGCCGCATTTGGAATGTGAAACTCAAGCAGAGTCCTTGTTTCATGTACGAGGCGAATATGCTAGAACGAGCCTAACGACGAAGGATCTAAATTATAAAAGGTTTCCCTGGTCTATCCTATGAAGACAGATTACATGGTGATCTAATATTAGCTTATCGCATAATGAGCATTGACCTTGGTACAAATATGTCTTATCTTTTCCTTCTGTCTAGGACTGACAATTTGAGGCAACATTTTTAAAACATTCGAAAGTTGAGATCAAGTGGTTTACGTCTGGAGTTTAGTTCCTCGTACAAAATAGTAAACCACTGGGATTCTCTACCAAAACCTTCTGTTGTCACATTCAAAACGAGACTAAACATCCACAGTATTACAGATTGCAAGGATTAATATAGGTCGATAGACCTCCTATCCTTATTACAGAAGACTGAATCATAATTTGTGAATGAGCAATTCTAAAATAGATTCAGCTTAAAAATATCTTACTTGGTAGTCACTCCTATCAACAGCGAGCTTCTTGCCCTCGGCAATTCTTTTCATGTTTGCGAGTTCTATTTCTCGACGTCGACGTTCGTTTGTGGTATGTTCTTCTTGAAACTTCAACTCCTGTTGTGCGGTATCCCTGGCCACAATGGCATCATTATACATTCGTTGTAGCTCTGAAACTTCAACTTGAGTGGCTTTTATTTGCTTTTCAAGAGAGTTCAAACTGTGTTCATATGTTAGATGTTCCTAAAAAAAATCAGTTGTAAATGTATATTCAGCTAACATCTTGAAGCTTTTCTTTTATTTGTTCATAGGTTTTTCTGATGTGTTCTGCTTCGTGGTATTTAAGCAGAGCTTTGTCAAGTCGGTTTTCTAAGTTTCTTAACATTTTCCCCTCTTTATTAGTTCCTGCATAGGTTGCGTTTCCGTACTCAATAAGTTCCGTAATCTCTCTATACTGAGATTTCATCTCTTCTATTTTCTTCTCCTTTTGAACAGTCATATGCTTCAAAGAATTAAGCTTTTTCCTTGCATCACACGTGCGATTGTCCAAAAGTTCGATTACCATCTAGAAAATAGCCTTTATTTCCTTATGACAGTCACTCACTGCCCCAGTTTTATTAGACATGCAAACCCTATCAGCCTGTCTGTTGTGCAGGACATGATTGATGATATGTTGATCAGCCTTTCGTAAGGAAATAATTCAAAATTCATGCTACCGAGAGCCTTTCTCGAAGGATATTTCTTAGTTTATTATTTTCAAGACGAAGATCTGACACTCGTTTCTTATTCTCTGAAACAGCTTGTACGGAATTTTCATAATATGCTTTGCGATCACCCTCTGAAATAATAAAAACTGAGTCAGTTTACCAAGCAATGCTATTTTTGCCTTCAATTCGTCAAGTCGCTGTTGTGATACAGGTTCCATATCCTTAGACCTACAAAATCCCGCTTATTTCTGCTACCGAGCAACGATCGTCCTTGATTCCAATACCCTACATCTCCGCAAGCCAATATTAAGAAACTGGTTTCTTTGTATTAGCGTCATGGTATTAATGGAAATATTTCGGATTTTCGGAGGGAATTTATCGGGATTGTGCTATTTACACTCAGTATTCGTTGTGAATCCGTCAAGTATTATGGAGGTAAATAGGCCCGTTCTCCAGTGTTAATGGCTTAGCTGAAACTAGATGTCCTTACGCCAGCAGGCAGCCAATTTTAGACCACATTGGACTTTTGATATTGGAATAAGAAAACCAAAGGTGTGTAAAAGAGATATGTGGTGAAAATATAAGTAACTAGAAGGAAATAATAATTATAAACACTACCGAAAATAAAGGAGATAGCTGTGTAACATCCGAAGAAAACTGTTGTCACGTCAATTCGGAATACATTCTACGTTGCCCAGGTTTGTAATGACAGAACAGTGGATCCCATCTGAATATCCGTTTTCAGATCAATGATTATTTGAATAAATAAACATAATGGCTTTAGGCTAATTTGTTTAGATGTCAAGACTTATCAGCTTCCATGCTTTAAATTCTGAACGTTTGCACCTATATTGATGTTTGTCTTTTGTTACTCCGTCCTTAAATATACATCTCTTACCCGTAACTTTAGAAAATATTAATAATCCGTTACGGTAAAAAGTGTTACCCAGTACATAAGACGTGATTGTTAAACTACATACTTTCCTTCTGGGAACTCGACGAATTCGAAGCCTTATTCTTAGTTTATATATTTTATATATTTGAGCGGTAAACAAATCCCCGAAACAAGTAGTTATGTAGGTCTTCAACATGGATGCTGACTTCATTTTATCTACTTAACACAACCTAACTGAATCCACTTGGTTAATGATCTATATCAGGTCGTCATTGTGTACACCGAACTACTCATCTCTCGTAGCCACTAGCCGGCCAACATCACATAATTCTCAGTAGATCGAAAATCTTCCAAATAAGTTTTCGGATTTCTTCACTCCTCACTTCTAGTTTGACCGGGTTCGGTAGACTTCGATCATAAACGGACAAATGCATTGAAAAACCCTGAATGCCTATGGTATTTCTAAGGGTTAGATTGACGTGTCTGGTACACCGAACGACAAACTGTAAGTACATTCCTTCTTATAACATCACATTTAAAATTTTACTCGTATATGTTGTAGTACTTTTAATTCATTCCTGGAATTCTTACGCCAATTTACATATTTTTTACACATAATGACGAAAAAAACGCAAAGGTTGTGAAACATTAAGACACCTACACCTCACAATCTCCAACTAATGCATTCTAGCCTGATTATATTAGAAAACGTTATTGATACACATAAGCTACCTCTCACAAATATGGTGTAAAAAATTACGTGTGCCATTATTCGATGAGAGAAAGGCACAACTATAATATCAGTGATAAGTAGTGAATAACACCGAAGTGACAAATGAAATACACACAAACACTGGACCTAGCACACCGACATTACAGAATGGATTACTTTAGTATCCTGATTAAATTACCGTAGTGGACTTATTAGATATAATGAGTTGGTTGACAAAGGCTTCACGGGCACGAACAACTTGACTAACTATCAGGCTATATCATCTGTGATGTTCAGAGATGTTCACTTCTCTAAAGAATTCCAGGTATACAGTCAAGAGTCAAATTCGTAATGTCAGCTGACCGTTCAGCCAGTCATGTGCACCGGTTTAAGCTGCCACACTACATTAACTAACGATTGCTGAAGGTCGATGATACTACAATATCACAAGTTTTGGAAGACGAGTCCAGCCTAGAATATATTGTTTTACCTTCATATCTATCGTTTTATCATAGGATTCAGTCATATACTTGTCTCCTTGCTTACAAGTTTTATACCAGTAGCAAATGTTTAAAAAGTGATAGCATGTGGAGAAAACAAACACTTGTGGTTTGCATGAGGTAAATTTCCTTAAAGAGCATTGAAACAACGCGGCGAGTAAATCCTGAATGGCCGATGAATATACGGTCAAACTGTGTTTAAGACCAGGTTAATAAGTGGAATGGTAGCTTTGTGGCTAGAAAGCTTGACATTTTACCAGTAGGTACCGGTTTCGAAGCCTGGAACACCTACTTTGGTTTGGGTAACCAGATAGTATCAACGACCTTAAGTGTGGCCTAGCGCAGCCAACCTTAACCTATAAATGAGCTACAAAACTAAGCCAATAGAAATAATTTTATGGAATACCCTTCTACATAACCTTTCGGTGACCCTTTCGTTTGTCTCTGATTTGGATGTACGTATGGGTATGCTATGAACATAAATATTCAACCTAACTCCGTATATTACTTGAGTTAACGCCGTTTGTGACAGCGGCAATAAGAGGCCAAATACGGGTTGCGTTGGATGAATTTATCTCAAGCACTCGTTTATCCAGACACATTCGGAATGAAGGCAGGAAAACGAAGCAGAGTTGGCTCATTCGCCTTCGCCAAAATCACAGCCGTTCTGGAATCTATCGCCACTATGGTGAAACTATACGAAATATTACTGATACCGTTTCCCGATACTCAAAATGAAGCTGAAGAGTTTCTTTGAATACATTTCGTTACAAGTTTTGAATGAAACCTCAACAGATAGTACGACTTAAATGATCACATTTCTATCTATCTGAACTATCTAGTTATTTATATTACGAGTGAAGTTCCAGGGAAAGAAGGAACGTCAGTTGACAATATTACAAGATCAGTAGCCGGATTGGATGGCCCGGACATTTTGTACCAAGAAGTGAGTGGAGTATGTGGAGGGAAATCTATCATAAGGCTATGACACAACACAAGTGCGTAGTCACTGACCTGGTCTAGACGAAGAAAGCTCCTTGCCTAGAACTCTATATGGCAGACAGGGATCGGAAAGAATCAGAACCGACTGTGGTGGAGGGTATGTACTAATTGCTTATTACTCCGAATCTACCTCATACAGACAGGTAATGTTTTTGTTTATTGGTACTCTTTTCGTACGTCGTTGAGTAATACGGTAGGAATATACGGGTCTCACTTCGTTTATGTTACATATTGAAGGGTTATTTCCTTCGGAACCTGCAGACCGAAGTAAAATAGGAGTGTGATACTTCCATTTGTCGACTACTCTTATCTAGACGGTCAAACAGCTATTCCATAAGTTTCTTACTTCTATGATTCTCATTTGTATCAGTGGTTTTAAAAAATGAGATCATAAATTGTACCATGATGATATTTCTCTGGTGTCGTGAGAGGCTAAAATTTCGAGGTTTTACAGTCAGGGTAATCTAAATTTACTGCCATGGATAAAAAAGATAATGACCTACATAGATCAATCTGTCGTTTAAATTAAAGGACCAAGGTTTGAATGAACGCTTTGTTTGGTATGCATCAAAGCAACATGACCTAAAGAATTGGAAAGTCTGACATCTTGGTGGTTTGAGCTTAAGATACTAGACAAACTCTCACAAGTGCAAGGAATCAAACATCCAGATATTTAATGGAATTTAAGTGCCATTGAACTGCAGTAGTGAACGTAATTAAATATTTCGGGAAACGATAGAAAGTCTCTGAAGTAATATTGAATACGTACATGTAGAGTTAGCAAATCTAACACCCAATAACTCTGGTTTTACCACCTCGTCTGCGAAATCAGCTGTCGTACTCCAGACAAAAGCTCTACTGCTGCTGCAGTTTGGACGTAAGTACATATTTTTGAGGAGATAATGGTTGGCACAAACCTAAATTGCTGTAAAGTAACGTGTATAAGAACCTTGTACGTGCGATCTCGACGCATCAATAAGCGATAGCATCCACTGGTCCTGTTACGTAGAATTTTCAGCACTCCAACCCCACGCTCCTTCCATTCTGGGGGATCGTCAATGGTGTCGAAACGAAACAGTTGTGCTCTCCTGAAAGATCATGTGACCTGATTTAAATTAAAAGGTACTGTTTGAATAGGCACTCTTCATTCTCCTCAGAACTACAGACTGTTAAAGGGGGAAGAGTAATAACAGGCTCAAAATATAGGTCAGGGTCTTCGTGCTAAGCAATTTAACGCGAGAAATTATTCGTACTTCCGAAACGCTATGCATTATCGTCACTATTAATTGAAAAGGCCAGCTAGTAGTTTGTTTGCGTCTATGTAATCTACGTTTGCGCAGACGAGGGACAGTGACAGCGGACCAGACACCACAAGATTCTAAAAGGAAAAATATGTAGTGTTAAGTCAAAAGCCAAACACTGTTATCACATTTACTAACGACAACAACCAACAGGAATTACTGATGAGTGTGTAAACTAAAAATCAACTTGTAATGTGTAAAGATATCAAAGCAACACAACGGCTAACCAATGACCACTCAAGGTTGTTGTGCATTCAACATCCAATAGGCTAACGCAATATATCGACCTCATTTTGTTTCAAGTAATAGTCTTAGATATTTACCAAATACTTTGTGCTAAGTTGAAGCCTTCAACTGCCATAGTTCTGTTACACCTATGGATTGCCTGTTGATCAAAGCATTTTCAGGGAACATATGCTGAATGAAAGTGAGACTGTTCAGACTATATCTAGTTGTATCACATGAATGTCACTTACGGGTTGATGTTTGGAATAATTCCAATATTAAAAATGAAAAGAATATGTATATTTTGCCTTTTCGCCTCCTGTAAGGTAAACGGAGCCTCAATCACGTGCTGAGGTAGTGAATTCCACTCGTTGGTGATTCAATGGGAAAGTCGATAGTCAGCTGACAAGTAATTTGTTCACGGCTTATGAACTCTTTTAGAGTGTCCTCGTAAATTCTCTGTTTTGGGAGACAAAAATAATGAGGGCATATCAGGTGCAAAATTATCACTAAGCAATTTGTAGACTGTAATCATGTAGCCTCTAGTTCTGCGATATGACAACGGGAAAATGTTCAGCTTGGCCAGTTGAGAGTCATACGGAAGCTTCGCTATTCCGGGAATCAGCTTAGTCGCCGTTCTCTGAATCTTTTCCAGAAGCTCATTGTCTTTTTTTAAGCAGGAGCTAGCCGCTTGTACGCAGTACTCAAATGTAGGACGAACGAACACCGTATACAAAGTCAAAAACGTTTTGGCGTCGACATGACTAAAAGCTCTACGTATTGACCATAAGGTTCTAAAACCTTTGGCGGCTATTGAACGGCAGTGTGCAGTAGTCTTTAAGTCTTGACTAACGATAACTCCTAAGTGATTATATGTCTGGACGATAGGTAGCTAATTGTTATTCATCGTGTATGTATCTGTGCCTTGATGACCGATATGCATCACAACACACTTGGAAGTATGTATCGGCAACTGCCATGTTTGAGACCATTCAGATAACCTCTTCAGGTCATTTTGAAGTTCTAAGCTATCACCCTTACTTCCTATCGCTCGCCATTTCTTGATATCGTCAGCATATAGCAAGACCGATGATGGTAGGAGACAGGGAAGGTCATTTACATACAAGAGGAATAGCACTGGCCCCAAAACCGTACCCTGAGGCACTCCACTAAGCACAGTTTCCCAGCTAGATAACTTTGAGTTCACCCTTACTCTTTGTTGACGTCCAACTAGGAAGTCTTCTATCCACATCAATAAATTGCCTTCAATCCCGAGTTTTCTTAACTTATATAACAGCCGGTTGTGTGGAACCTTGTCAAACGCTTTGCTGAAATCAATGAAGGCGACGTCTACAGGTAGCTTTTGGTCCTTAAGAGTGCACCAGCTTTCACGAGCCACTAACAAGTTAGTGAGACAAGAATAACCTATTCTGAAGCCGTGCTGCTTCTCCGAGAGGATCCGGTTTTTATCGAGATACTTAAACAGCTCCTTCGAATAATCTTTTCTAAGATTTTAACAACCACACTAGTTAGGCTAACGGGACGGTAGTTCTCAGGTTTGTGTTTCTATAATATTCTAATTATAGTATGAACTAGGAATTCCAGGATTAACGCAATTGAACTAAGAAGACACAGGCACAAACGAATGTATTGTATTTAGAATTCGAAATCAAGTATTCAACCAGTACAAAGGTATCATTGGTTCATTCAAACACCACATCCGCCACAGCTTAAATTGGAGTCTAGGTGTTTATAATCAATCGTACGTCTTCTTCTCAAATTCATCCTGAGTCTGTCTGACATTGTATTGGATAAGGATTCTGTATTATCTAGAATATGCTCATTAGCATTAGAATTAACAATCGAAATTGGAACTGACTCACCTGGTTCCTGAAATTGTATTTGATCTACATGTCGACTGTGTGTACTTAAGTCATCGATGTCTAGAATTCGCACCATCGATTTTCCGACATTCTTCAGAACAATACCCGTAGATGGTCGAAGATCATTTCCTCGATAGTATGTAACCTCTGCAGACTCCAGACATCTCATATTCGACCGAAGAATTCTTCCTTTCAATAGCTTCGCTGGAGTCTCCTTCGTCACCGAATGTTTGGGATTTCTATATTGCAATAGAAAGGTATCTACTCCCCTCTCCAGCTCATTAAATGTTGAGGGGGCTATAGAATCAATAGCAGTCTTTAATGTCCTAACAAAATTCTCTGCCTGACCATTAGAACACGGATGTCTGGGAGCAGTAAACAGATGTCTGTACCCTATACCTTTCAACCAGGTAGTGACTGCATCTGCAGCAAAGTGATAGCCATTATCAGTCACCAACACCAAGGGAACACCTTCTCGACTAAACACCTTTCTTAATGCTTGTATTGTGAAATCAGAATTCGGTGAAATTGTGAAAAAAACTTCAGGCCACTTTGAAAAAGAATCAATGACTACTAGTGCGTAGTATTTACCAAGAAATGGTCCACAATAATCAGCATGAATCCTCTGCCAGGCCTCAGACGATACTGGCCATGGCACCCACTTCGAAGGATGGTTTTTCAACTGATGACATTTCTCACAACTGTTTGCCGTACGACATATATCTGCATTTATCTCTGGCCACCAGCATGTGAGCCTTGCCAAGGACTTCATTTTCTCAACACCTAAATGACCACTATGAAGATCTTCAAGAACAGATTTACGCAATGAGGGAGGAATGACAACACGATCGTTTAAACACAGAATACCATCAGGAGTAGTAGATAACTCATCCCGCTTTGAAAAATAGATAGGAAATCTCCGTTTCAAATTAGCATTCCAACCTTTCCTTATAACACTGAGTATACATCCAAAATATCTACGAGTTTCTCTAATGAGATCTGAACGTCTCACTGATAAAGGTTGCACTAACAAACAATCCGAAGTATTAATAGGTTTATCTTGTAATGACTGTCGAGAAATGTAATCAACATGTTGAATCTGTTTGGCACTTCTGTGCTGAACCGTATAGTCATATGCACTCAAAGCAATACTCCATCGCTGAACCATAGCTGCTGAGGAACGTGCTAAGGATTTTCCGGGATGATAAATAAACTTTAAAGCTTCATGATCAGTAACAATAGTGAATTTCTTTCCGAATAAATATTTATGAAGTCTTTTAACAGCCCAAAACACAGCTAATGCTTCTCGCTGAGTCTGTGAATAACCTTGTTCAGTAACAGTAAGTTTGCGTGAAACACAAATAACTGGTCTACCTTCCCGTTCCAAAACTGCACCAATTCCCACAGGTGATGCATCAGTAATAAGCACAGAATGTACATTAGGGGAGTACGTTCGAAGAACAGCATCACTTTGAAGAAACTTCAGCAGACTTCGTAAGCATGACTCTTGTTCCTCACTCCATTTGAATGAATTGGATGTTAAAATATTAAATAAACAATTTGCACGACAAGAAAAATTAGGAATAAAACGGGAATAGTATTGAAGAGCACCCACTAGTGAACGTAATTCTGTAAGATTTTTCGGAGACGGTGCATTAGTCAATGGAGCTAGTCGTTTCATATCTGGTCTAAAACCGTTACCATCAACTAGGTATCCAAGGCATTCAAAACTAGATACACAAAATGAACACTTATTTGGATTCACTGTTATATTCTTCTCAATTAAACGTCGCAATAAAGCAATAAGTCTCTGGTCATGAACCACCTTATTAGAGCCATGAACAATGAGATCATCTTGATAAACTTCAACACCTTCAAGATCACTAACTACTGTATTCATAACTTCTTGAAATATGGCTGGAGAACAACTTAGACCAAATGGAAGGAAATTGTATTTGAACAGACCAAAAGGAGTGTTAATTGTCGTCAAAATAGATGAAGATTCATCTAAAGGAATTTGAAGATAAGCATCTTTTAGGTCAACTTTCGATAACACTTTAGAACCATGAAGTCGATTTAGAATATCTTCAGCTTCTACCGTCGTGCACGTTTGCTTCAACAAACGGGAGTTCAGAGTTAATCTATAGTCACTGCAAATTCTAGGGGTCTTGCCGTCCGACTTCAGTGGCGTAACGATAGGAGTACCCCATGCTGAAGACTGGATTGGTTCAATTATGCCTTTCACACACAAATCGTTTAATGTTTTACGTACTGCTTCTCGAAGACCATAAGGAATTATTCGTCTTTTAAGAAAGACGGGATCACCCTGTACTTGAAGTTTTATAGGCTTAATTTTCATACCTCCACTGCATTTAGCACACATAGCTATCAAATCTTTAAGTAAAGTATCAGAATTTTCTTTAGAAACTAAGAAGGACAATTCCACCTTAAGCCTTTTCAAATTCTTTAAACCCAATATTGACAGTCCTGTTTCGCTAACTAAAAATTCACAAGGTATGTATGAAGAATTATCATCTCTGATTAGCAATTCACAACATCCTCGTATGGGCAGTCTGTGTCCAGTAATCCCCAGTATTGATACTTCAGTGGGTCGTACGACAACGTTAGGATCTAAAGCTTTCAAGTTCTTGAATGAAATAATGGACTCTATACTGCCTGTGTCCAGAATAAAGTCATGAAATGAACCAAGCGATGTATATAATCGCTTCTGAATATGAGCATTACCTTTCGAAATAGTGGACAAAGACAAATGATCACTAGAAACATCCGAATTATTGAAATTTAAATTACAAGATTTAGTACAGCTCGAAGCAAAATGGACAGTAGCTTTGCATACTGACTGAATGTGTCCTACCTTACCACATTTAAAACATTTAGCATTACGAAATACACATGAATTGCGAGCATGAAACTTTCCACATGATAAACATTTACCAAACTTCATCTCACCTTTGTGATTTGCTTTGTAATTCCTCGTTGAAACACCTTTCATATTTACACGAGAATAGGAATCACTGTTAAATGAACGCAAGTTTGATTGACCCTGAGATTGTAGTTCATCACGACGACTAAGCAAAGTATTAGAAATATTCATCGACTGGATATCAAGTTCATTGACTGCTTCGTAGTTAATACATGCAGTTCTAGCATCTTGAAAAGAACAGTTTGGCATTCTTAACAGCTCTCTTTCCAAACTCGGTATGTTAATTCCTGCAATTAATCGATCTCTCAATTGCACATGAAGTTGATCACCGAAATTACACTTGGCAGCTTGTTTCTGTAATTCAAGGATGAATTCCCGAACCTTTTGGTCATTTTGACGAACCATCTTATGAAACTTCGCCCTTTCACGGCATTCAAAACTGGTGCATTTTACATGACTTAACAATAGCTCTTTAAGAGTTGCATAAGGCAGTGAGATAGGTTTTTCTGGATATGCCAAAGTTTTTAATAAGCTGTACACTTCTCTCCCAATGAATGTCAGAAAATGTGCCACAATTTTCTCACCTTTAACATCTTTCTTGGTCATGCTCCAAATTTCGAACCTTTCCAAATAATCCTCAATAGCTTCAGGAGTTAAATGAATATCCAACTTTTCCATTGCAGGTTCCATCGCGACGCCAATATAATATTCTAATTATAGTATGAACTAGGAATTCCAGGATTAACGCAATTGAACTAAGAAGACACAGGCACAAACGAATGTATTGTATTTAGAATTCGAAATCAAGTATTCAACCAGTACAAAGGTATCATTGGTTCATTCAAACACCACAGTTTCGTACCTGTTTTGAGGACAGGACTTACTATGGCGTCTTTCCAGTCCTTCGGTAAACGACCCTACGTTACGGATAGGTTAAAGCATATACTTAAAGGGTTCGCAACGAAGTTAGATAATTCCTTCAGTAGCCTAGGATGTAATTCATCGGGCCCCGTGGATTTACCTATGTCGAGCTTATTTAGCAGACCAAAGACATCGAGTTCTTTAATGGTCACGCTATCCAGTGTATATGTGGAGGAATCTGTATGCACTGACGGGAAGGGTGCTTCTATGTTGTATACATTGCTAAAGTAGTTCGAGGACACTTGAGCCTTACCAAAGTCGTCCTCCACTAATGATGAAGCAGTACTGTCTCCCCATAGAGAAGGAGTATTTCCTTTTCTCCTTGTCCTTTGGCTTATATAGGAATACAAGCGTTTAGGACATTCTATGGATTCCTTAACAAGTTTTCCTTCCTACAATTTTCTAGACTTACGGAGGGCTGAGGCACAAGTACTCCGAGCCTTTTGATACTGAGATTTTGACTCATCAGTCCCCAGTAACCTAAATCTATCCCGCATTTTCCTTTTCTTACGGAGAAGGATACGGACCTCCCTACTGAACCATGGTGGTGAGTTTTTCGGCCCCTTTGGTATAGTCCAAGGGATGTGAGGTGTGGTAACTTTTAAGTATGAATTTCGAAATGCGTCCCAGGCCGTTTCAATGGAGGACTCTGGGTCTATTGTCCAATCTATTAACGATGCTGAGTGCACGATGTCTGGTATGTTTGCTTTCCAGACATTGGGTCTGGACTGGACTGACGCGTGCTCGTGACTGGCAGTTATATGGAAGTCAAAAGTTAAAACTGCGTGATCACTTTTACCTAGGGGTGGCATATGATGGGGGTTCGCAACATCATCCTCATAGTGAGTCAGTATAAGATCTAGTAAGGATGATTCAGTGTCCGGATCGTACCTTGTTGCTTCTTTCACATGTTGCACAAGAGCACATGTGATAACCCCATCAACTAGTTCCTGCTCGAAAGAATTCTCCGATGATTTAGTTCGCAGATTTTCCCAGTCCACCGTAGGTGCATTGAAGTTCATAAGCCGTGAACAAATTACTTGTCAGCTGACTATCGACTTTCCCATTGAATCACCAACGAGTGGAATTCACTACCTCAGCACGTGATTGAGGCTCCGTTTACCTTACAGGAGGCGAAAAGGCAAAATATACATATTCTTTTCATTTTTAATATTGGAATTATTCCAAACATCAACCCGTAAGTGACATTCATGTGATACAACTAGATATAGTCTGAACAGTCTCACTTTCATTCAGCATATGTTCCCTGAAAATGCTTTGATCAACAGGCAATCCATAGGTGTAACAGAACTATGGCAGTTGAAGGCTTCAACTTAGCACAAAGTATTTGGTAAATATCTAAGACTATTACTTGAAACAAAATGAGGTCGATATATTGCGTTAGCCTATTGGATGTTGAATGCACAACAACCTTGAGTGGTCATTGGTTAGCCGTTGTGTTGCTTTGATATCTTTACACATTACAAGTTGATTTTTAGTTTACACACTCATCAGTAATTCCTGTTGGTTGTTGTCGTTAGTAAATGTGATAACAGTGTTTGGCTTTTGACTTAACACTACATATTTTTCCTTTTAGAATCTTGTGGTGTCTGGTCCGCTGTCACTGTCCCTCGTCTGCGCAAACGTAGATTACATAGACGCAAACAAACTACTAGCTGGCCTTTTCAATTAATAGTGACGATAATGCATAACGTTTCGGAAGTACGAATAATTTCTCGCGTTAAATTGCTTAGCACGAAGACCCTGACCTATATTTTGAGCCTGTTATTACTCTTCCCCCTTTAACAGTCTGTAGTTCTGAGGAGAATGAAGAGTGCCTATTCAAACAGTACCTTTTAATTTAAATCAGGTCACATGATCTTTCAGGAGAGCACAACTGTTTCGTTTCGACACCATTGACGATCCCCCAGAATGGAAGGAGCGTGGGGTTGGAGTGCTGAAAATTCTACGTAACAGGACCAGTGGATGCTATCGCTTATTGATGCGTCGAGATCGCACGTACAAGGTTCTTATACACGTTACTTTACAGCAATTTAGGTTTGTGCCAACCATTATCTCCTCAAAAATATGTACTTACGTCCAAACTGCAGCAGCAGTAGAGCTTTTGTCTGGAGTACGACAGCTGATTTCGCAGACGAGGTGGTAAAACCAGAGTTATTGGGTGTTAGATTTGCTAACTCTACATGTACGTATTCAATATTACTTCAGAGACTTTCTATCGTTTCCCGAAATATTTAATTACGTTCACTACTGCAGTTCAATGGCACTTAAATTCCATTAAATATCTGGATGTTTGATTCCTTGCACTTGTGAGAGTTTGTCTAGTATCTTAAGCTCAAACCACCAAGATGTCAGACTTTCCAATTCTTTAGGTCATGTTGCTTTGATGCATACCAAACAAAGCGTTCATTCAAACCTTGGTCCTTTAATTTAAACGACAGATTGATCTATGTAGGTCATTATCTTTTTTATCCATGGCAGTAAATTTAGATTACCCTGACTGTAAAACCTCGAAATTTTAGCCTCTCACGACACCAGAGAAATATCATCATGGTACAATTTATGATCTCATTTTTTAAAACCACTGATACAAATGAGAATCATAGAAGTAAGAAACTTATGGAATAGCTGTTTGACCGTCTAGATAAGAGTAGTCGACAAATGGAAGTATCACACTCCTATTTTACTTCGGTCTGCAGGTTCCGAAGGAAATAACCCTTCAATATGTAACATAAACGAAGTGAGACCCGTATATTCCTACCGTATTACTCAACGACGTACGAAAAGAGTACCAA